TATGAGCCACTTCTTGGTAAGGATGCCAATTTGGAAGATGTGATTTGGAGGAAAAATATATTGGGAATTATGGGATACTCTTGGTGATGTATGAAATTAGAACATTGGGCCAGGTGTGATGGCTCATGCCTCTAATCCCAGACATGTGGGAGGCTGATGTAGGACAGTCACAATGGCTGGCTGATGAGGCCAGTCTAGGCAACTCAGTGAGACCCTACTTAAAAAAAAAAAAAAAAAGGAATTATGGAACCATGCATTGGATTGGAAAACTCAAACCCCTGGCTCAATCACTTCCCAGAAACGTGACCCAGGACCAGCCAGTCAACTTCCATTTCTTTTCAAAATCAAATATGTTTTCTTAAAAAACTTGCACAAGATTCACTGAAAATTCATGGATATATAAAAAGTCTTCATATTGCCAGAAAATAAATCCCATTATTAAATTTAGTCTATCCTGAAGATTCCCTATGATAAGCTGTGAAATATTTGTTTTATAAAGGCTCTGAGGTAATACTCTTCCCTGCCTAAATGACTGAATTTTAGGTTGAGAGCTAGTGTGTGAAATGCAAGGAACCTTGGCTCTCAGTCTTCTCACAGGTCCTAGCAGCTCCACCGTGGTAGCCAGCAAAGCTGTCCCAGCGGAAAAGCCCGGAGCCAGTTACTGTTCTCCAAAGGCTTTTCCATAAGTTTTTCAACACTAGTTGGTCTCTCTTACTACAATTTAATTAAACATTTTCCATTTCAACTTCAGAAATTAATCTCACAAATAAAGTCTTTCTCCAAATTAAGGAGAATGATATATATAATATATAATGATAAACTAGTGTGACTCAAATTTGTGGAGCATCATTCCTTTTTATGTGGAAAGTCTTTAACACTCATTATTTCACATAATCCTCATGCTAACCCTATGAGGTTGGTCCTGCTGTAGATTAAAACCTCTGAAGTGAAATGACTCACTGAATATCACTCAGTTTATCAGGTGTGTGAGCTAGGGCTCAAACTCTGCTGGTCTGGTTACAGAATCTGTGTCCCTACCCAGAGAGCAAATGTTTTGTGTCACATGCCATCGATGTTAGGGCTTAGGAACGAAAAAATACATTTATTTTTAAAGGTACACACATCTGATCATTCTGAGACCTATTTGTGGAGTAATGAGTCCTGTTTGGAAATTGGGCATCACCTAATCATGTAAATGTTTGAAATGTCATGAAGTACTTTGTCTTTAAGAAATACTCTTAATAGCCTGGCAAGCACAAGGTCATGAGTTTGATTCCCAGAACAAGAAACAAAAACAAAACAAAATAAATACTCTTCATAGATAGAACTTACCAAAGCCAGGCTTTCTCTGAAAAGGAAACCAAACAACAAACAAATAGCCCATTCAGAGTCTGTTTCCCCTGTCTGCAGAGCCCGTCACCTGTTCCTAGCAGGTGGGGGCTTCCGTGTGTGGCTGCTGGATGAGTGGATACAACAGCAACCAGCTGTTACTTTCCTTAAGGTTTCTCAGCTTGCTCTTGGGTCTTCTCCTCCCTCTGGTCACCCAGCCTGGTACCCAGCATCTTACTTCTGATGGACTGAAGGGCCACAGGGAACACTCAGGGTGACATAAGATGGAGTGGAAAAGGTGAAGGATGTGTGTGGGCAGGGAAGGAGAATAGCACAATGGTAATGTCACAAATGGATCTGAGTGACAGAATGACACTGTAGGTATATCAACCACCATGTGACCAAAAACCCACCCAAGCTGGGCAGTGAATACTGTGACAAAGCTGGGGCTGTGGCAGCATCTAGATGTTATCATGCTATGCTATGTTATCATGCTATTGTTTTTTATAGACATATTTCTTCTTTTTATGTTCATACACAGACACACACAAAGACAACCAGAAAATAGAGGAAGGAAGACCATACCTTTAACTACCCTATCCAGATAGTGAGCTTGGGAGATAAAAGACAGGACATTTAAGGTAGGAGCAAGTTAGCACAGTACTGCCTGCCATACAACCATGCCAGGTGCTAAGGTGACACAGAGATGTGTGCCCCATGTTTGAGATAAGGCCTTTGCCATGAGGGGAGAATAAAACAAAGACAAGATGACATGGGAGAAAAGGAAGGAGAGCAAGCAGATTCTCCTAGAAAGGCCAAAGGAACATCAATTCATTCTGGGATCCAGGGGTTGGGAATGTGCTCATAGAACAAGAAGACAGATGGGTAAGGAAAACAGGAGAAAGGACGGGAGCTGCACAAGTGGCCACACTCCTGCTCTGTCTCTGAGGTTCGTCCAAGTTTATGGAAAACTAGAACTTGTCCCTGGGTCCACCCAGAGCAGCATCCAACCTTCTACAAAGGGAAGCAGCTGCACTAAGAATAAACTCTGTCTGGAGGTGTTCCCAAGAGTTGGAATTTAGAAATATGCAAAATCTGAGTAATCTCTGATATGCACTAGGGAAGTGGGCTGAGTCTTTGGTCAAATATACCACTAGCTTGTCTATTTGCCATTCTTGAATTTTTTATGGACACATAGGCCACAGAAGCTTGAATGCAGAATGTCTGGTGCCTTACATAAGATGCAACCCTCCTTTGTGCATCTTACATAGAATGTGAAGCACAGGTCAATGGATGTAATTGCGAAAAAAATAAGAGAAAGGAAAGAAAACCTGACCAATTCTCAGTGCTTGTTATCTCAAAAGACAAACGACACACACTTTGCTTTCCAATGGAGGAGCTCTGTTCAAGCCTTGAATTATTTGGTAAACTAAGGTTTTGCGTATTTATGAGGATGAGTATCAAACATTGTTCTGGTATAAGTTGAGCTTGCATTATATGGCTGTGTCTGTCTATGTTCAGAGTGGAGCTGGCCTCTGCACCTTACCAATGAGGATGCTTTGAGGAGCTCCCTCTTGCCTGTCTCTTTACTCCTATCCTCTTGTGTGGTCCCACAAAAGCTATACAGATGGCTCTCTTCTCAGGTACTGGAGGCCTTCAGCTAGGCTACACCCATCCCCAGTTTCATTTCATATGTGAATCAAAAATCCACAAGACACCACTGGGCTGTAATAATGTGGCCTGATCTGAAAGCCCTAAGAATCCATCAATAATATTAAGATTCTTTTGAAAAATGGACTTTGTATTTTAAGTCCTCTGGATAGACAGATACTACTACTGTTCATGTATATTTGCTTTAAAAGACTGGTGGGTAGGAAGCTCTATTCTTAATTCAGGTGTCCATGTGGTTGGTCTTTCAAGATGAAATATGCTCTTGAAGGCTGCAGAGCTACATGGAGAGTGGCAAGAGATTTAACAGGGCCTGCATGCATTCTTTCTTTCTTACAGAGGCCATGGAATTCACGGGTAGCAGGAAATAAAATAATGTGAAGGAGAGTGGCTTATTAAGCAGGAGTGAATAAGCAAAGCTGTGGAAGGCCAAACACAGGGACTACCTGTATGAAAAAAATGAGACACAGGGATGCCCACATGAAAAACAGCCTAGGAAACATCTCTGGCTAAGGGCGAGACTTCCTTAATTCTTAGTTGATTTAATACATTAGCCTTAGACAAGTGCATTCATTTAACTTTGCAAAATGGTTTAGGATTTCTTAGATTCTATCTCCTAGGATGTCAGAGCTTTGCCATCAAAGAGCAAGAACACGTGGGATTTCCTGGCTTGGGTGGTTTTCTTAGCTTTCAAATCTTCAGAGTCTTTTGGAAGGCCCTAATTATAAATTTGTACAGTAACTCAGAGCCTAGTAATGGAAGAGGTGGGGTGACCAGTATTCATACTGAGGGAGTTCTCTGAAGAGAAAGCATCTTTGATTGTCTCTAAACTTGATGATGGTCTCATGGCTTTGACGGTTAGTAAAGATTAAATGTGCCCTATAGGATAATCTCTTGAAAGCCAGGGTTGACTCCAGGGCTTGTGTTCTCTTTGGATGCTATTTCATTTTTAAAATTAAATAGTAATAATTATCTTTACTAAATGTAAATATGTTTTTAATACCTTTAAAAATGCTAACTCATTTCACTAGTCCACAGGTAGCAATATAGGCCAGTAGAAATGACTGAGGCAGGCTCTGGATAAATCAACAGTGTGAGTTTTGAGGTGATAAATAAGGACATTCAAAACTTCAAATCTTGACACTGCAAATCAAAAGGGATTCCTGTGCTACAAAGAGACCTCAAACTACATTATGAATCCAAAAACTGATAATAGCCGGTCAATATCGGATCCAGGCAATGTCTGAAAATGGAAAAGAGCTTCCTTATCTCTGGCTATTGAAAATGGAAGTGACAACTGGGTCTTTGAAGTCCAGTGGCATTTATTTATGAAAGGCATATGCAGAAGCCCACACTGGTGTTGCCGTTACTGCTTGAAAATCTTCATACACTCTTAAATATGACCATTTTAAAATTTGTGGCTTTGAAGTACCATCTTTTAAGAAAAGATGATGCAAAGCTCATCAGTTTGCATTATGGAAGTTAGATTCAGAAGACTTCACAAATTCTTGCATCTTCACAAAATTTCTGTATTTTTCTTCTCAGGACTCCAGGATGAGGGTGACAGCAGTACGATCAACTTTGCTCATGGCCATATTTATTTCTTTGCCATTGCACAAATATTTCCTAAATTCATATTATCTTTGTGTCATTTATGGGAGAATCAGGAAATGTACTGGTGCAGAGGAGTTTATGATATAGACGCCGAGCTTTTGGCATGAGGTTGCTCTGGGAGTTCTTAGGTCTCTTTGGCATTTCTATGATCACCAATATGAGAACGTCCTCCAGTGACTTGCCTGCATGAACAAAGGCTTCCAAGAGTTTCTCTTAGAAACTCTCAGAAGCTTCAGGGTCCCTATCAAGGTTATGAAGAACACAGTAAGAAGCTTTCCATTCTTCCCCTTTAGGAGCCTTAGTTTAACTTTGGCAGCCGTATCATTGGTCCACATTAGGCCAGATGAAACAGGGATCAATACAGAAAGGGGTACAAGTGGTGGTTACAGTCACCTAATTATAAAAGAGATGTGCTTGTTAATATCCTGAACACATTCTTGTTCTTCCCTCTTTGAATGAAGGATCCTTAAATAAGCGGCCAGTGGGACCCACCCTGAAAGAAGCCAACAAATTGTAACAGCTTTGTTTACTACCCTTATCATATGTGTGCTGAAGTTTCCTGATGTCATCAACAATCAACCCATGCTCTGACAGTTTGAGACAGATCCCTGTAAGTCTTCTCTCTTTCCTTGTCACCATTTGTCCTGTTGGATTTCAGCTTTTCAGGAGGGAGAAGCAGGGCTATCACAAAAGTGCTCGTATCTCATGGGAGACTTGTGAGCTTTTGGTGAAGAAATGTCTGAGCACAAAAAAACCCTGAGCACTAGCATTCAAAAATGGACAAAAAACTCCAAAGTTCTGTGGCTTGCTTTACACATTCCCTTCTTCACGAGGTCTGGTTTTGCTCATTCAAGTAATTGTACCATCAGAGTATTATTTTGATCTTTACTCCCAGAGGAGGCTTTTGTTTAAGAATCAGGATTTATATGATTAGACAGCTTTCCTGAAGTTGAGTAAATAATTCTGTATATCTGGCATTTTTAACAATCACAGCTTTGGGGTCAAGGTTGGAATTTTATAAATGCAATCAGAAGCTGGCATCACACACACATGTTTTGAGCCCTCTTAAATGAGGGGCATTGAGGTGAATAAAATAATCAAAATCAATGTAGAATTGTTCCAAAATGTTAGTGAAGTCTTGAAAGAAATAAGAAAAAATTAAACACCTTCTTAAATTTAACTGAATTTTAGATTTTGCTGTGGAAATCAGAGGCAAGCCCTGAATGTAAGGGATCCATAAAATTTCCGGAAACAAAAAATCCAAAAATAGGCTTTTGAAGTCTGTGTTGACCTTACTTAAGACATAGATCCAAATCAATTCATCTTACCTTAATTACTAGACTAGGAAAAGTGGGTTCCATATATGGAAGCAGGACGGTTAGTATCAAGGAAGCAAAGACAAAAATGAATAATTCCTTTTTCCTTCATGAGATATTGCTAAGTGAATGAATCAGGCTGATGGGTCTACAGGTTTTTGGGCAGGAGAGGAGAGGGCCAGACTTTCTTGCTCTTGGGGACCTCCTTCAGCCACCCTATTCTGTGAGGCACAGGGAGAAAACTAGACCTAAGCAGTCACATGTCCTTCCCACAGCAATTTCACTATAGATCTTTCTTCCAGATGCAAAGAGACAGCGATTCCTAACCCAAGGCATTAGTTTTCAAACTGAAGTGTTCTTGCCATCTGAAAAAAAATACTGTAATTAAGGAGGATGCCACCCTCAAGTTTCCTCTTCTTTTGAAAACCAACCTCTTCTGAGAAAAATCAAGCTGCTTCCATGAAAGATAAGGGAGGTAGGTAAAGATATTTAATTCCTATCATAATAATTTTCTCAGAGAAGTGTCATTGGGGTAAAAGTTTCTTACACCGGGGACTTGGCCATCAGAAGCCTAGATTCCTCTTTTCCTCTGAACTCCTCATTCTTCCTATAAGGCAATCAAGGTGTTCTCTTCTGTTTATGGAGGCAGCAGTGTATAAAGAAACAGGGTCTCCTCTCTTTTGTTTCCACTACTTGGAGGTCTCTGAGTTGGTGTCATGGATACCAGCTCTTCCTCTGGTGCGGGAAATGGCTAGACTGCAGTGTAAGAGGTAGCTGCCTGTAATGACCCACTATGTAAAAATGATACCCTATAACAAGAAAAATGTTTAACAATTCAAATTTCTAACTTTTCACATCAGCAGTTATTTTCTTTTCCTAAATGACCCTCACAGGGAGCAAATTTCCCTGGAAACATAAGGAAATAGCCCTTGTTATCACCCAAGATTGAGAAAAGATTCTCATTTCCATTTCCACAAGGGAAGGCTTCCACTATTGTTTCTTTAATTTTCATTCCCTTTCTCCTCTGTTCTACAGGGGTGTTGAAATGTTCCTTTGGCTGAGATTTTCAGTTTCTCATGAGGATGCAGCTGGCCACAGTAGAGATCCACAGAGAGAAGGATGCCATGCAGGGAGATCAGACAAGGACGAGGGAAATGCTCACCAGACAATGAAAGGTAATAGAATTCTGAGCCAAAGTCCTTTCATCTGAACCACTGTAACTAGTCCATTACGTCTTCAATGTCCTATAACATTTTTCTGGTATTTAGGACTGTCAACCTTCCTTTTTTATTGTGCACATTTACCTTGATGCATTTCCTATCTGCAGGGGAAAAACCATCTCTGCAACTCCAAGAAGGAAAGTTTCTTCAAAATGGACAATAGGGTGTGTAGATAGAATGGTCTGTCTTCCTGGGATTAAAATAAATGGCCCTTCTTAAAACCAGGTTGATAAATATTTCCAAGTTACTAGATGTAGACCAGCCTTCCCATAAACCCTATCATGAATTATCTATGACTAAGGCTCCTAAGTCCCAAGTCATTGACTCAGATGAGATGTTTTATCTCATAAGAGTTGATATAAACTTTCTGGCACTTGGCAAGGCAAGCCGAGGAATCTGTGAGCAAGGAGGAGTGAAAACAGACTGTTAGTGGCAATGGGGCATCTTCTGAGCTGGGAGTCTGAAAGGTCAGTCCATCCTCAGTCATGCACAGAAGTGAAGAAAACGGGAAAACACAGTGTAGAGAGGGCCCCTGGGGTGACAAGGGAGGACCAGTCCTTGGTAAGGAGTTTCCAGGGCAATGATAAACTAGGATGACGCTGAAATACTGAAGCCATCAAGCAGTGCTGGTGCATTCTGCTGTGGAGGAGTAGAGAGGATGCTCACCCTTAACTAAGGAGGGGCTTTGTTAGGAGTGGGGCTGCACAGCTTAGAAGAACTCAGAAAAAAGTGCAGCCTCGGGGAGAGGCAGGAGCCTTGGTGCAAATCTGGGCTTTGTTGTATGGAGACTGCAGAGCAAACAGCTGATGAGGAGGAAAATTAGGCTGCAATTCCTGCTGAACCTCTTTAAGTTATGTGACGTTTAGCCTTAGGTTTCTGTAAAGGAGAAAGTGACCCATACCTCTTCACTGTGCTACAGTACAGAATAAAGCAGTTCTAGATTTTTTAGCACAGCACTTGGCACACAGTGAATATTCAGAAAAGTAGAAGCCATTGTTATTAAAAATGTAAGGTATTCAATGGCCATTTATACAGTGATGTTTCAGGGGTGGGGATCAAGAATGTAAACTAATCCTTGGTGGCAAGTGGCAAAAGGAAAAGAATGAGGGCTGAAAAAAAGTCACAAAAAGATATGAGGTAGCTCTATTTGCTTAAAATTCTTTTGTTCTTTGAAGGCTTATGGGATTGTCTTCCAGTTTCTGTAAGAGCTAAGAGGTCACTTTCTGAGCCAGAGAGGAGCACCTGGAAGCCTGCCTTCTAAAGCCATGTGCTCACCATCTGATTACAGACCCTTCCTTGAAAAAAAAACACCAAGGGAAGAAGTTAAAACACACATCTACAAACCAGTTGATTCAATAAAGAGCTTTCAGTGAGTGTTCATTCCAGGATAATAAACCAAGCAAAACGTCTGGCTGTGTTTAAAATCAACAAAACCAGCAGGAAAAGCGGAGAGACGGGAATGAAGTGATCAGTTTGTTTTAAAGCTGCCAACAGTGCTGCTTCAGCAGGGGCCCGTGTGGAGGAGCCCCCATGTGAGGAGAAAGGAGACAAATGCTGAAGGGATGGAAGCCCAGTGCAGGGGTAGCAGAATGTAGATGTGGCCAGGCCCTGTGGAGAGCTTTCCTGGGGTGCCAGCATCCTAGGTCAGTGGGTGAGGAGGGCCAGGACTGAGCCACATTGATATTATTAATACGGCTGATAATAATGGCCGGGTGGACTGAGCACTCCACTCCGGCCAGCCTCTGCTAAGCACTTTGCATGCTTTATTTGTCCCAGGCTGAGAGAGGTGATGGGACTTGCCTGGGGCAGTCATCAGGCTCATTTCTGAGCAGAGTTGTACTGCACTTAGTCTGGGTAGGGCAAAAGGGCAAGGCTTGCAACCAACTAACTAGGACCTGGGAAAGGCAAATTAGGAGGAATAATATTGAAAATGCTGAACTGTAACTGAGTTTAAATCCAATTGATGTCTAGGAAAAGCCATTCATAATGTCACCAGATGAAAGGACTTTTGGCCCCTTCCCACATGCGAGGGGGGTCCAGGCTGGCCCCGAAGGCCCAACAGACATCACACTGCTGTGACTAGACACGGGCCCGGCCTGTGGCCGCCATACCAATAGTGCAGTGTTCGCCGTTCCAGCCCACGCTGCACTCGCACTTGCCGTCGCGGCAGGTCCCGTGCTCTGCGCAGCGCGGGTGGCAGGCTCGCTGGTCACACGCTGCCCCCATCCAGCCATCCTCGCAGCGACAGGTGCCCCCGACGCAGACACCGTGGCCGCCGCAGTCCGCGGCACAGATCTCTGTGGGCAGGGGAAGGAGGTAGGGAGCAAGCGGTGGGGGAGGAGAGAAAACACAAGATTTGAGCAGGTTCTTGTCAGGAGCAAAGGTCACACTTTGGCTACCTACCAGGCTTCTGTGAGTGGCTGGGATTCCAGAAGCTTAGGAGACTAATCTCCATGGACAATGACCCTCTAACAAGAACAATTCTCTGGGCAGAAGCCTGCTTGGAGCCCATTTCCCCATCATAATGGGAGAGACTAAAGGGCTCTGCTCTATTTACTTTTCCCCCTGGCCAGCCTCGCTCTGCTTCTGTGCTTGCCGTGTCCAAAGGGGACTGGCCTTCCCAACAGATGTGAGAAAAAGTCAAATTTAATTAAAAATCGGTTATGTGTGAAAACAAAGTGAGGATGAGTCCCTACTGACAAATGAAGGGCTGTGGGTCTGGCTGGGGTGCACAATGAGCTCGGGGCCTGCATGGAACTAGAGCTTTGACTCTAATGTTGAGGTGCAGGGGAGTACTTGACCCTTGTACCCTGGACATACTGAGTTGTGGTCCGAAACTTGCAATTTATTCTGTGCTTTTGCTGAGTTTATTCTCTGTCATCCAAAGTGCTGCTTCCTCCTTCAACTCCAAGTACCAGCTCAATGAGCTTTCAGATCCAAAGCAAACAGCTAGTGGTGGTGATGGCAGGGTGCACTTCATGGCCACAGTGTGGTTGCCCGGCCCTTCACAAAGGCCCGTCTGTGAGACTGTGCAGACCATACAGGGCCTGATTCACAAGTCCTATGGGCTCCAGGCCAGCAATGGCTTTGTGCTTCCTGCAGGCAGAGGTTGTGAAGGTTCCAAAATGCAACTGCTCTTCAGGAAAGAATCGGAGCAACTGTGTCTACTGATGATCTCTGCCACGGCTCTGATGGAGACCCAGACTTGACTCAAGCCTCTTGGCAACAGCCTTCCAACTCATGTGAAAAGTCTAATGCTTTAGATTTCTTTCAAACTAAATTAACTAGTACCTGTGTTAAACTGCCTTTGCCCATTACCCCCTTCCAAGTGGCAGTGCTGGTCTAGAAGCTGCTAATATTCTAGCTATTTTTGAAAAAAGTAAAGTAGATATGAGAGGCCCAGACTTTCCTTACCAACTCAGAAGACAACGCATAAAATGTCTGCAAATTAAAAATAATGGTAAGAGTTGCCAGTCACCCTGCCACGCCTATCACCTCAGAGGGGAGGTACAGTATTTCCTGTTTGCAGTTTGATCTCAGTTTTCTAAGCCACCCACAAGAGAAGGTGCTGCTGACAGGTAGACAGCTCTGGCCTGGGGCAGGGACATGATTCCTTGCCAGGGGCAGGAGATTCTGATCTATGTGCCACAAGCAAGTGTTCTGACTTTCCTGAGCCACAGTTCCTGGCCTAAAGAGCGTGGATACCATGACACTGCTTCACAGCAGCTCTCTGCTCACCTGGTGAGCTACACTGAGCACTCATTGAAGTAGTCAACACAAAAGGCCAAGGTGAAGATAAAGTAACTCTAAAAAATATTCCTAAAACTGAACGCAGGACACTGAGCTTGATGTCCAAAGAGGGTTGTGTGGTTCATGCCTACTCAGACACTGAATTGCTAGGAAGGAAAGGTCACTACCTCTTTCTGGCTATCAGTTTCTTTATCTATTTAGGAAGGAACCTGGTGGTATGTAAGGTCCCTTCAGGGGACCTAAGGTCCCTTCAGGCCCTAAGACTATGGGATTTTAGGATACACTTATCCCCCATGCTATCCCTACTCTTGTTCCTAGGATTTGGCTCGCATGCCCTGCCTGCTCTGAGCAGTCTACTGGGATTCACCCTGTGATTATTCTCTTGCTCTTCCCCATCCCATAATTGCATGCTACAGTGATTTTCTGTTTCTGTTCTTTTCTCACTGTCAGGCCAAGAATCTTCTGAGGCTTGGGCTCCTTTCTTTGATCACCCCTATCTCAGGAACCAGCATAAGGACTGGCATAGAATGTACTCCCTAAATAAGGCTTGTTTGATAATATTGAACCAGGGTGTGTCATTGGCACAGATGAGAGGGGATGAGAAGCACTTCATGCACATGCTGCTCAGCCAGGCCTATGTCTTTCCTCCTCCCTATTGACCTGTCTGTATGAAAATGTCCTATGTGGGGATGGGGCTTCGGAGCTAAGAGGCACTGCATCCAGCAACCCTTCAAGAGGATGTTCAAACTCCTTTCAGAAGTGTCTTAGGCTTCCCTAAAGAAAAAGAACGTCAATCTCCAGGGCCCAGGCCTGCTTAGGTGCTGTCTGAAACTACCACCTGTTCTGCATAACAACTAAAGGGCAGTGACCTCCTGGTGACTCTGGAGGCTGAGCTTGAGCTTAGACTGCACTTTCCTCAGAGCTCAGGGAGAGAAGATCAGCTTAGAAGGTTAGTGTCTTGTTCAGGTTCATTCAGCTCTTTTTTCCAGGTGTTAGTTGATGGTGTGAAAGTAAATAGCATGTTGCACTTCTGTTCATTGAGTTGTGAGCCAGGAAAGGTGCAGGCTTCTGGGGCAGGGTTTGGGGTCAGCAGCATACATGGAATTCATAAGAGGCCAAGGAGAGAAGTGGCAGGCTTTGTCCTGCATTCACCTGTGGGACTTCATGTCTTAGCGAACAGGTATAACTATCCCTTATCCCACAGCATTCAAGGGGGATTGTTGAAAGATCCACTTCAAATAGCAAAATCCATGGATACTCAAGTCACTTACATCAAATGGCAAAGTATATGTAATTAACCTATATATACCCTCCCATGTACTTCAAATAATCTCTAGATTGTTTACCATACCTATTTATGCAATGTAAATAGATGCTATAATTTATTATTATTTAGAAATAGTGATAAGAAAAAAGTTTGTATATTTTTAGTACAGATGGAAAGATTTGAGGATTTTCAACTTGCTGTTGTTTTAATCCACAGATGTGGACCCCACGGTTACAGAAGGCAGATTTTACTCCATTCATTTATTAGCCAATCTGGGAGGCAGTGTGGACAGATGAGAGAAAGACTTAGAATCAGATGTGATTCCAAATCTCAGTTCTACAGCTATGTGACCCACTCAACTGCTCTGAGCTTCATTTTCCTCCTCCATAGGATGAGGATAGTGACAGCATCCGCTTCAGAGGTTATTTAGTGCTAGTGATATCTATATCATAGGTATCAACAAATACA